ATCAGARCATGTACAGCCTTTAAAATGCAGTGTGTATTTCTTAGAAAAATATCTTTTTAACGCSGCTCAGAAAGAGTACATATCTATGTCACACACATAACCCACTCAGAGAGGGAAAAAACAAATAGAGCTGTAGCAGTTCAGAAGGCTAAGAGGTGCAAAAGCCCGTAAGTTTTTTTTTGGATAACCCACGTGACTACAAGACAGAGATACTTATTTCCTACACAAACATCCACTACCAGCTTAGACACTAAGCTACTGCTATACTCAATTTAAAGCACATGCCATCCCACAAACCTTAATTCAAGGTATCTCTCCTAAGAATTAGAATTTAAAAAAARGCAAAAAGCCGAAGCATAGAAAAAAAGCCATATATTGTGGAATAAAATAAAAACTGACAGTCTTAAGTTAAATGTAGCTAATGACTTGGTCTTCGTATTAAAATACTTCAATCAACCTTTACTCAGAAATTAATGGAGATGCAGAAAGATGCATCCCTTTACTATTATTATTATTCACATTAAATATTTTTCTATGTGAAGAGTAAGAAAAAGATCCATAGCAGTCTGCAAATATAGTTGAAAATCTAGCAAAATGCTCTGGAGAAGACAACAAAACAAGAATCAATAGGATTCATTTCCAGCAAAAAAAAAAAAAAAAAAAACAGCCTGGTACATTTGGAACAAATAAAAGATGAGTCTCAGTCAAGATTACAGTAGTTCAGATGGGAAGTTTCTTTACAGGCACTATACACTTTTGCAGGAAGGGAGAGTTAGGTATTAAACGCCAGATACAGCTCCTGAAAGAGGAACACGTCAATTTTATACTTCTGTACATGGATACAGACTGAGATCGAAGATAATCTATTACTCAGAAAAATGTGACTTTCGGATATAGCAAACTGAAGAAAATTGATGTACATATGACATACATGCAGTGATGTCCGATTCAACTTACATGACTGAGTTAGTAGCAGAAAGCTGACTTCAGTGCTATGGATAACCTGAAACCACTTCACTCTCAAAATCCTGCTTTTGAGTCAAGAAACCAAAAGGGCCGACACCATACGAGCATGCTGCAACACAGCATGAATAATCATTTTTTTTTCCTTGATGAAACACAGCAGTTCTGAACCCACAGCATTTCTGCTCTACAGAGGTTTATTTCTAAGGCAAGTCTACCTGAGAAGACTAAACCCACTCTGCCTAAATATAGTACAGAAATCTGTGCAGCAACTTCARTGTACCTGTATTTCCAGATAATTACTAATAAAAATGTGGAAAAATCACCGATTTGAACTGTGCAGTTACAAATGTAGAATTATGAAAGATTTCCACTCTTTTACCCAAGGAACTAGTTTAAGGATATGCTTCAACTTCCTTATAAAGGGAAAGTATCATGAAAACAGACTGGTGCACCCAAGCAGTCTGCTAATAGTGCAGGAAGCTCTTGTTAGACTGGATGTAACGTATCAAAACTGTGTGTGTGTCCATAAAGCAAAGTAAGCAAAAAAAAAAAAAAAAAAAAGCTACACTGGCAAGTCACTTATCTCAGTGTAACCGTGTCTACATTTGAGCTGTGTTGCCACAGAAGTAACATAAAAACTCATCTCATAGTAAAGGCACCATAACAACAAAAGGTGACCCCACTGCACAGTTGTGACAGGCTTCGGAAAACTTGGCACCTGAATAAGACGTACGTRTAATTGTCATTCCTCTTTTCAAGAAATCTAGTATTTAAACATAAAGAAGTTGCAGAAATCKCTGGCAGGCTAAAAGCGATCATGTAGCCCTGATCCTGAAGCTAAGAACTGGGTAAAGCATAAATATAAATAAGAAATGAAGAGATAAGATTCAGCAATTCACTACTAATATACTAGAAGACAGTGACAATAYCAGGATTAAATTACTTAAGATTTTTTGTTACAAAATACCTGCTAAGATCATTTCAGTCTCCCGGTACCTTTATTAACCCTACCTTATTCTTGCCTCCCAAACAAGAAACTGGCAGCAACAAACTTATTTAAAACTATGCCATTGAAGTATGCTTTGTGGCAAAGCAAACTGTGCTTCAGAGCAGGGAACACAYGAAGCATTTAAGACTTTTAAGAGGGAAAGACATGCAGCACTGCATCAGTGGGAAAAGCAGCTATATTTGGTTGCTGCCAATAAATCAAGCTTCCTAGGACAACCTATGCTGGCCTCTTTTTAGAAGAAAACCCGCATCATACAAGTTTTTTAGTACATTCCAAGCCCAAAATATCAGCATCGTTTACATCTACAATAAAAACACAGACGAATTAGAGGCAAAGCTGTAGTCTCCAACGTGTTAATACACTTAACATCTGTAAGTCTGGCAAAAAAAAAACTAGCTAGATTCAGTCATTATTTTTAGATATCTAACACACAAGATCAGTATTTCATGTTAAGAAATGAGTCAAAAAATTAACAGGAGAAGAAACCTGCTGAACTGAACAGACCCCCATGCACATGTGCTGGAAAAAGTTTCACCAAGCGTGCAAGTTTCTAACCACTCTGGATAATGATGTTGCGAATGAAACACTATGTTTAAAAAGAGTGCTTGAGTAAGTGCATAAGCACCGTGCTTCTGATTTTCTATAATTAACTCAGGAGTGGGGACAACACACCAGCTTCTGTAAGTGGAATTTACAATATAAAAACTGTTTGTACTATTTCAAAGCAATTTAAGGAGCAGAGAGGTGAAAAGAGTAAAATTCAACGCTGCTGCCCATAACAGCAAAAATGAGACAAAAAAGCTCAGTCACGTAGGCAGTAAATGCCTTAAAAAATCCCTAAAAGCATGTTTATTAATTAGGAAAGTTAGCTTTATTTTTTAGTTACAGAAACAAATATGATATTACATTCAAAAAGTGGCAGTGTCCTAAATCTAGGCAATAAATTGATAACAATAAAATCCAGAAGGAGATATTTTGTATGTTTTTGGGGAGCATACACAAAACGTTCACACCACTCTAACCCTCTGGAGAGCTACTGGGTGATATCAATCTCTACAACTTCAAAAAAAAAATTATCTCACTTAGCACACTACAATGACATATCTGAATTCCTCTGAATCCCTAGTGTTTCACCATAACTATAGAGATCACTGATTAAACTGCCCAGTAGAACAGTAGGCGATTAAAATTAAGGAAAATCTGCACTCTTGCACTGAAATACACTCACTTTATGCAAATCTGATTTGATCCCAAATGCCTTAACTTGGATACCTGCATTCGTCTGAAYGTGCCTTCGACTTTCCCACATTCAAGCAACAGGACTTTTCTCACAAAATCTATTTTTTATTTAACCTCCTACACAAAGGAAGACCAGCACTGCCAAGGGAAGAATGAAAATGATTACTACTGAATTAAGCACTGCTTTCCAAGTCTAGAGTAAAAAAAACCCTCCCCAACTAGCTACAGCTAAAGAGGAGCTCCTCCAACCTTTTCCTACTCTGAGACCTGTTGCTATTAAGACTAGTCCTCTGCTCCAGTTACAACGTAACACTGCATAGAGCTAAAACGTTCTAAACGCTACATGTAAACTTCTTTAAAAAGCAAATACATCATTCACCAAGAATAAGGCAAAAATCAGTATTTTGAGAATTATTCGAAGTGGAATCGCATCCACCGCTCAGCCAAAAACTATTTAAACCTCCTGTTTGCTGTCAAAAGACCAGCCATTTTTTCCCCCTGTACTCTTCCTTTTCTTGGCAGCTTGAACTGCAGTGAGAAGCCTGGYAGCACCAGGACCACCACCACTCACCAGACTTTGGCAGCAGGCAGCCTCCTCCACCTCCTAAAGGCTAAGSAGACCTAAAGGGAGTTTAAAGAAACTCCTGTGGAACAGGTAACCACACACTTTCAGGGCAAAATGACACCAAAAGCCCATCTGCTTCACAGGAAGCATTAAAAAGCAGAACAGCCCTTTGTTATTCTGTCTCCCCTCCCAGTACAACAAGTTCATTTCTGCTAAAGACGGGGACACCTGATTTATCCAACCTCTAGTCTGAGTGCAGAGCAGCTCTGGAGTTTTCATGGAGTGGATGATTCCTGTCCCCTAAAACACCACCGAAGACCTTTGCAGGACTGCAGAGAAGCTCTTTTATCTTCCCAACCCATAAGTCTACAGGAGAATTTCAGACATTTTGGTCTTGCAGCAAAGAAATGGGAGATGCAGAATGAACTGCACTCCATATTGATTCTCAATGCAAATAAGCTGAAATAATATTTTGTTTCTACAACATTAAGACTCTCGATAAACCTCAAGCTCCAAACCCACAATCTAGRTTTTGTCTTTACCTGTCTTCTTTTTTCTTAAGTCAATGATATATTTGAAACATTTTCAAAAAACCTCATGCAAGGAAGAGTAAAGACTGTAAAAAAAGTAAATCAAATAGCTGGAGTGCATGTAAAGAGGATAAAGAAAAAAAAAGAACAGAGAAATAAATCTGTTTCTAAAGGAGTTGTAAACCACCTAATAGGTGAAAAAACAAGAAACAAGAATACATTTTTGTGCTTGTATATGCAAACATACACATAGAAATCAACATTAAAGTCTACAAAAAGCATCATCCTAAGCACCATTTCGTGTTCCTGTAACTGAAATTAAAGGCAAATGCTTAATGGAGAGAATTCTGTAATAATTACTGTTGTGAAACACAAGAAAAATGGAAAACTGTTAACCTTATCTGCGATTGATCAAAAGCACAATAAACTGAACAGCTTTGCTTTCAATCACTTCCAAAAAAAAAAAAAAAGCAGAAACGACCCAACACCCCCCTACAGCATTAACACAAATAAGAAAGAAAAAAAAAGGGGGGGGGGGGACGAAAATGGGAGAAGGCGCAGCCACAGACAGGCAAAATGAAGGAGCAAGTTAGAGAAGCAAAAGGGAGGAGATTTCGGCAAGTGGGGAGAGAAAAAGGGGGGMAATAATCGCCGCAGCAAGAGGCTGGGAGCCCAGGCCCCCGAGACTGACCTGTGCCGTCGCTGGCGGACACGGAGAGCGCCGGTGAGGAGAGTTTAGGCCGCTTGGCTGAAGGCGGGCCCGGCTCCACCACATTCTCGGCCATTTTTAATTTTTTTTTTTTTTTTTTTTTTTTTAGACAATCACTCGGAGTCGGGAGCCGGAGGCAGCCCAAATCCTTCACCTTCTTCCCAGGCCCCGGGTCAGCTGAAGAACAACAATAACACGGGGGGCGAGCGAGGAGAAGGATCTGCCGGCGGAGGGGGCCAAGTTCCCCCCCTCCTTTTTCTTTTTTTTTTTTTTTCCTGCCCCTCGGGCTCAGCGGAGAGAAGGTGGGAGCAGCGAAGGGAAGAGGCCTCTTCCCCTGGGCGAGGGCAGCGCAGAGATGCAAAGAGCTGGTTTTAAAAAATAAAGAAAAAAAAAGAAAAAAAAAAAGCCTCCGCCAAAAAAAAAAAAGGATTAAAAATGGGGGAAAAAAAAAAATAAAGGAGAGGCTGGTGGGGTTTTCGTAAAATTAATCCCGGCTGTTGTGCTGCTGTTGCTTCCGCGCTGCCGCCACCATCGTCTTCTTCATCCTTCGGGGGGTCTCCTCCTCCTGCTGCCTCCTCACCGCCGCCATCAGCCTCTTCCTCCTCGGCGCCGTCCTCCTCCTCCTCATCGCCACAAGGAGGCGGGCGAAGGAGGGGAGAGGAGGAGGAAAAAAGAAAAAACGATCACCGTCCTCTAGCAGCGGCGGCGGCGGCGGCTCCTTCCCCCTGCGACACCTCCCTGCGAAAAAAACACCCGCCGCCAGCGACGGGGCCGGCGGGGAGGCGGCGGCCGGGCCTGCGCGGGGACCCCGGCTCCCCTCGCCTCTTCCTCGCGAGCCGCTAATGGCTGCGGAGCGGGGAGCCGCGAGGATGAGGAGGGTAAGAGCAAGTCCCAGGAGTCTCCGCTTCACATCTTGTTGTGCGGCGGCGGCGGCGGGCTTGTTGTCCTGATGGAGGCAGCACCGATCGCGGGATGGGAAGGTGGGGGGCGGGTTTCAACACCCTTCTCCGCTCCCCCCCCCTCCTCCTCCTCCTTCTTCTCCTCTTCTTTCCCCTTCCTCTTTCTCTCGCTCTCAGTCGCAGGGTGCCCCCCCCTCCAGCGCAGGCAGAGGGGCCGATCCCACAGCGGCAGCAGGAGGAGGAGGAGGAGGAGGAGGAAGCAGCAGCCGGCCCCTCCCCCCCTCCCTGCCTACCTTCCCCCTCCCGGGCG